ACTTGGAAGGGCTTATTTCCAACCTAGCAGTTCGAAAGCATGTAAAATGCAAGTAGAAAAATAGGAGCTACATTTGGTGGGAAGGTAACAGCGTTCCAAGCGCCTTCAGCGTTTAGTCATGCCGGCCACATGACCACAGAGACGTCTTTGGAGAGCACTGGTTCTTCGGCTTTGAAACAAAGATGAGCACTGCTCCCTAGAGTCAGGAACGACTAGCACATATGTGTGAGGGGAACCTTTACCTTTAACTTGGGAAGGAAGAATCCTATAATTAATTTTCTTATATTTTTAACAGCACTTTAACAGAAAAAGCATGGATGTTTTAAACTCCAAGTTTTAGGAGCATAATTAATTCATTAGATGTTACTGCACTGCAGGTTCTTCAAACGCAACTTGTAAGGGTGTGTTTTCTTTGGCAGTCTACTGCTTGCATGAAAACTGCAATACTGTACTCACCTCATTAATGGCATCAGGAATAATTTTCAAAACTTGTAAGTGTTACATCTCACAGGTGAAGTGCGACCCTCACAGCTCCTCCAGGTTGTACCACCTAGCCCCAATTGCAAAATTGTCACTCTTCAGCAGCCCATCCCCCATTCCCTTTCAAAAATTAAAAAGAAGGGGCAAATGAATCCCCCATGAGTAAAGTTACTAGCCCTTTCTGCTCTGGTCTCATTTAGTTGCTGTGATATGAATTAGATCCCAGGCTGCAGGGAAGCCTTGTGATTGCATGTGTATGTTTGGGAGTTTGGGGTAGTTATTACAGGTGTTTTTGGAATATTGCTTTAGTTTTTTTGTATGTAAAGAGGAAGAGATTAGAAAATAGGAAACCATGCAAAATGGGTGTGTGCCACTTTTGTCCTGGCAGATGTGACTGTGGGATGAAAAGGTAACTGCCGGATGGAGGCTCAATTTCCCAAAAGAGACTGTTGGTTGCTCATTATTTTAGCTGAAAGTATATAGTATCTGTATTAAAGCATATCTTATGTGATCATGGCATATTTTAAAGATACAATGAAGGTTGGCTTGTTTATCAAAAAAAAAGAGCCTTATTTACCAGAATGAAGATTAGAATTAGAAATACAGGGATAAATTTGTTTTGGATTCTACAACGGCTTCTATCATAATGCGGCATCTACCCTGTTTCCCCCAAAATAAAACCTCCCCCGGATAATAAGCCCAATTGGGCTTTTGAGCACAGGCGCTAAAATAAGCCCTCCCCTGAAAATAAGCCCTTCCCTAAAATATTTAAACACATGCACAGCCATTCCCCGCCATTTCCCTGGGGGTTGGCATGCCCCACGTGCCCTGCATGCACCTGCCATCCATGCAGAACAGCCTTATGAAGGCCGCTCTCCCAAACCCTAGCTACCACGCCCCTTTTAGTAGCATCCACAAAAAGAATGGCAGGCCCAGCGACGCTAAGGCTGGCAAGAGTGTGCTTATTGAGGAGAGTCAAAAGAAAATAAGACTCTGTCTTATTTTCGGGGAAACATAGTAGTAGTAATAAGGAGTTTTATTTAAAATATTAATATGTTTTTCCCAATGGGAAAATGTTCTCAGAATGCGAGTTGTATTGCTGTATTGTTTGTGTTGTGAATTACACAAATAAAATACCATGTTAGAAATACTGTTGGGACATTCCTGCTGTCTGCTTCAGTTGGGGAAGAGCTTGGCAAGTAGGTGTTGCTGTAGGTTTGATTGCTAAGAGCTGTTCACTCTTGAAATAAATGAACTTAATTTTATCTATGCATGTAGAAGCCACACTATATAATTTCTTAAGGGAAGCCTTTTCAAACTTTCAAACTTTAATGGTATTTCACCTTCCTCCCCAGATCCCAAATTAATTTTTCAGTTATGATTACTATTAGCCGTTTATGACTTTTTATTGATGTTGATATCATTGTAAAAAACCAAGCAAAGTATCATGGGGGGAGTTAGGATAGGTGTAGCCTATATCTGGTAGGTCAATACAGTTTTTATTTATTCATTGTACTCTGCAGGAGTTCAAGTTGGTACAGTTTTCCCCGCCCATTTATCCTAATAACATTAAAGGAGCCCTTGTTTTAGTTTCTCATTAAAAATTGCTAAAACAGCCTCAATTCCGGCATGTTCTTGCAGTCTTCGTTGTAATTATTTATTTTCAAATGCGGTAAGTATAATATTGGGGCCTGGGTTATTAGTTAGACTTGCGACAGCTGGAATGTAGCAATGGAAATTAGAACATGGTCTGAGCCATGTGGCGATTGCATTGTGCAAGCTGAAGGAGGCTAATTCTCGTATAACTTGGATGACAATCTCTGGCGGGAAGCGTCCCTATTTCCTGGTTGCTCACTTTTAATGATTTACACTGCTGGTAAACCTAACAAAACGTTCAGTGTGCTTTTGTTACAGTGCCTTTGGACAACAAACAATTGTTTGGAGCACCTAACGGCTACCCTGGTCACTTCCT